GAATTTTTATAGGGGAAAGCGAAGCGTTGTTTTCGTGACTGGCCAATTGTTTACTTTTCTGATGGTTTTACCTCTCATCTGTTTGGTGACTACGAAAACATTGCTTTGTGAAAATCATTGTGTGTACACCCCTGAACGTTAAAAATATATGAAGTCGAAGGAACAGTTTTGGTCTAAGTCCACACTTTCGTCAACAAAATGAAAATGTAATCAGATCGGTTTAAAAGGTGAAGAAATTGAAATTCTATTTGAGAACGATCGTGGCCGCTTTTCTAAAAACAGAATTCAGTGGCCACTTTGTTAAAACCAAAATATGTGAGGAAACGGGCAAGGAATATTCCGAAATGGTGCAAATGACCATGAAAGTGATTTCCAAAAGGCGACTGCGTGACACTCGGTAAGTCAGTTGTAAGATGACATATGTTACCATGTATCAGGCGAAATACTCGGAATAGTTTCCAAATTTCCAGTCTGCATTCTGTACCCAATCTACAGTCTGCAGTGTGCATTTTGTACCTAGTTTGCATTTCGCACCCGGTTTACCGTCTGTATTTTGTACTGACCGATAGCTAAAATGTGAACTCAGACCATTCACCCAACATCACCCCAGCAGTTCAAAGTAATACCAAGTAGTTTCAACTGTATCCGGGAGTCACCCTTTGGAATTTAATTATCCTCAAAACTCATTCAAACGCAATGTATCCACGACTTCTTCAAAATTTCCTTTGATTGGTTCTTTTGATCAACAGATCGTTTCAGAATTAGGAAAATGCAGCTAAATGTTTTACAAAATAAAAGTTCACCCATAATTTATTCATTTTATTTTACTTTTTTTTTCTTATATGGTAACTAACGTCATTTGGGCTTTCCTATTTTCAAACTGTATTTTTTTTTATTGTAACGGTACATTAAAATTAAGGTCAAAATCCTCTGAAAGCTTAAGGAGAGGGAGAAATAATTAGAATCACGTACACAAGATTGCCTTTTCTTTCGTCTTCCTTTTCACTGCGCATTTGCGCAACCAAAGATGACGTGTGTATTACATTGAGATGCATGCAGTCAATGCATTCTACAAGGAAAAGAACTTATGAGTATCTACAGTGTGGCAGTGATAAACCTTTGCTTCGCTGGTTTGCTTCTTGGATTTGTTTCAGGAGTGTTCATGCTGTTAGTCGATGAAATACAGATTATCAAAGCTATGGAGCTTGGACACTGCGTGAAAGTTTTTATTGAAGAGCTTGCAATCAACGTTTATTTCCAGGTACTGTTTCTAATAAGTTGAACAAGATACAGTTTGGTGCAGTGTGGACGAAAGCTCGCCCGAATGACTGTTGAACAAACCACCGCATTGTGCATCACCATTTCGTGGTTAATAGCAAACTTTTCAACATTGACTTACCAAGATAAAAAACACGTGGAATTTCCTTGCAGCGAGGTAACTTTGCTCCTTCCCGCAATATTTTCAAAACATGATGAAGTTGTCAAGTTTAACTGCTGTAACATATCCGGAGACAGCATCGAACAAAGCCAGTAACAGTAGCATAATTGT